GAACACAAGCCTCCTTGTGTGCAAAGCATGCACTCCAGGTTGTTATGCTGTCTCTCACTTTCTGGCCCTGAAACTTTTCCCCTTTTTGCCAGGATGTGGGTTTGGGGCCATACTGTGCACTCTGTCTCCAGCCCCTAGAACTTTTCCTTAAACTTTATTAAAGTATGGTAGACATGAAGAAAAATTACAGGATCCAGAGAGTAGTACTGGAGATGAGGTGCTTACAACTTGTACGTAGTTAATACATAAAACTTTAATTAAGTAGCACTGTAGCACAGTAGCACTGTCCTCCCATTGTTCATCGATTTGCTGGAGCAGGCACCAGTAATGTCTCACAGCAAATTGTGAGACTTGTTACTGTTTTTGGCATATCAGATACGTCACAGGTAGCTTGCCAGACTTTGCCATGTGGGCAAGATTAAGTATGTAACCATAAAAGCCATGCCACGAACATATCCATTATCTCCAAAAGTTTCCTCCAGCCCTCTTTATTATTTATTGTTAAAGGTTTTATTACCATAAAACATATGAAATAACACTTTGGTGGGGGGAAGTGGGAGATTTTTAGGGCAGCTTTATATTTGTAAAAAAATTGACCAGAACGTAGAGGTTTCTCACCTGCCCTCTTATCTCGTTATCAGCATAGTCTCCCTTGTTATCAACTAATCTCCCACCAGAGCTATGCATTTATTAGGATTGATAAATGTCTGTTGACATCATTATTACTCAGAATCGATAGTTCACATTAGGATTTGTCCTTGGTGTTGTACAGTCTGTGAGTTTTGTCAAATGTATAATGACACGCAACTACCATTTTAGTATCAGCAGAGTAGTTTCACTGACCTGGAAAAGTTCCTACTTTCCCTAAATCCCTAGCAGTTACTGACTTTTTTATTTAACCATCTCTTCAGTTTTCAGAATATCTTATAATTAGAATGTTATCATATGCTGGCGTCAGAAAGGTAGTATAGTGGCCTTGCACACAGCAACCTCAGGTTCAGTTTCCAGTATCTTATATGTTCCCCCAAGCCTGCTAAGAGTAATTCCTGAATGCAGAACCAGGAGTGCCCATGAGCATTGCTGGATGTGACCCAAAAAATAAAGAATTTTATAGTATATAAACTATTGCGACTTCTTTTACATAGCAATGTGCTCTTAACATTCTCCTGTGTCTTTTCATTACTCATTAATTTTTAACTTTAACCCATTTTTTGAATACCATAGTTTAAACCATCACATACTGAAAGATAGCTTGGTCACTTTCATGACTGGAACATATATGTGTTTATGTGTGTATGTTTGTGTTTGTGTTTTTTTTAGTTACAGACTTACAAACTTTTGTGCTTATGTTTCAGTCGGACAATGACTGAGTACCCATCCCTCCACCAGTGCCCATTCTCCACCACCAGTGTTCCCATCATCCTGCCCACCACCTCACCGGATCCCCCAGCCCCCTGCCTCTGTGACAGGCACATTCCCTTTTACTCTCTCTCTTCTTTAAGTTGTTGTAGTTTGCAATGAAGGTATTAAGTGGCCATCGTGTTCAGTCTCTAGTCTACTTCCAGCACGCATCTTTCATCCTGAGTGGGCCCTCCAAGCATCCTTTACTTGGTGGTCCTTTCTCTATCTGAGCTGCCTTTTCCCCCAGCATGTGAGGCCAGCTTCCAAGCCATGAAGCAATCCTCCTCACTCTTATCTCCACTATCCTTGGGTGTTAGTTTTCCATTCTCTTACTTTATATTCCACAAATGAGTGCAGTCCTTCTATGACTGTCCCTCTCTTTCTGACTCATTTATTTCACTTAGCATGATATTCTCCATGGCCATCCAATAATAAGCAAAATTTCATGACTTCATCTTTTCTAACAACTGCATAGTATTCCATTGTGTAGTTGTAGATGTTAAAGTTTCTTTAACCAGTCATCTGTTCTCGGGCACTCGGGTCTTTTCCAGATTCTGGCTATTGTAAATAATGCTTCAATGAACATCATAAGTGCAGGTGTAATTTCTACTATTTTTTTTGCATCTCTGGGATATATTCCCAGAATTGGTATTGCTGGGTCAAATGGGATCTCAATTTTGAATATTGAGAAACGTCCATACTGTTTTCCAAAAGGGCTGAACCAGTTGGCATTCCCACCAGCAGTGAAGGAGAGTCCCTTTCTCCCCACATCCACGCCAACATTGGTTACTTTTGTTTTTTTAAATGTGGACCAGTCTCTGTAGTGTGAGATGATATCTCATTGTTTTGATCTGCATCTCCCTGATGATTAGTGATAAAGAGCATTTTTTTCATGTGCCTTTTGCCCATTCAGATTTCTTCTTTGAGAAAGTTTCTGTTCATTTCATCACCCCATTTTCTGATGGGGTTGGATGTTTTCTTCTTGTAGAGTTCAACCAGTGCCTTGTATATCCTTGACATCAACCCCTTATCAGATGGGTATTGGGTAAATATCCTTTCCCATTCTGTAGATTGTCTTTGTATTCTGATCACTGTTTCTTTTGAGGTATAGAAGCTTCTTAGTTTAAGATAGTCTCATTTGTTTATCTGTTTCCACTTGCTTAGTCAGTGGCATGTCATCTTTGAAGATACCTTTAGCTTCAATGTTGTGGAGGGTTTTGCCAACCTTGTCTTAAATGTACCTTATGGATTCTGGTCTGATATTGAGGCCTTTAATCTATTTTGATCTGACTTTTGTGCATGGTATTAGGCAGAGGTCTGAGCCCCCCTTTTTTTTTTGCATGTAACTGTTCAGTTTTGCCAGCACCACTTATTAAATAGGCTTTCCTTGTTTTGCTTCACATTTCTTGCACTCTTATCAAAGATTAGATGATCATATATTTGAGGGTGTGTGTAAGGAAGGATATTCAACTCTGAGTAACATACTTTTTTAAGGGGAGTTAGGGGGAAAATTGGGCCACACAATATATACAAGGCTATTCTTGGCTCTGTGTTCAGGACTTGGTGGTTTTCAAGGAATCATATGTGGTTCCCAGGGATTCTGCACAGTGCATCAAAGCAAGTGTCTTACATACATCCTATACTGTCTATCCTCCCCAACTGGAAAAAATTTTAATGTTTGAAACTTCGTTTAAATACCACGATTTACAAAGTCATTCATAAAACACTTGTTTCAGGTATTCAGTGTTCCAACACCAATCCCACACCAGAGTGATCTTCCCCTTCACCAGTGCCCCCCGTTACCCACCCACCTCCATCATGCCCCCTTAGCAGGCACAAAATAATTTACTTTATGATGCTTATTATAACGTATATCTCGTTAGTGATATTGTCTAAATGTCTAAAGTCATTGTCCAAGGATTTACTGAGCCATTAGGGGCTAGTTGAGCCCTCTGTTCTGTTGTTTTTACTCATTGAGCTTAGTGGGCTTCTATACAATTTTCCCATCTAATTTCCTGTGCTCCTGCTAGCCTTTCAGAACTGAATTTTGGAGGTGTCACATGGCCATGTATATGGCCAAATGCTCCAGGAGTTATGGAACTGGGGTGAAGCAGCATGGCGTCTCAGCTAGGCTGATCATATGCTGTTGGAAGTTGGGAGTGCGTGGAGTGGTGGGCCTTCCAACAGGGCAGGGACTTGGCCCACCCCCATCCTAAAAAAGCTCCAGAGACCTGGGGCTAGAGACCAGACCTTCCTGGGTCAACTCAGCTTAGCTGAAACATGTTAAAATAAAACCTAGTACTATTTTATTTCACTCCAGATATTGTAAGAAAAAAACTTAACCACGATAACATTATCACACTAATAGTAAATCTAGTATCAGGTGAAGAGCTTGTTTTATCTAATTTTTTCTGAAGGCTCTTTTAACATAAAATCTTTCTGGCAAAATATTTCTGGGGTAGAAAAGATAGTATAGGAGTTAAGATGCTCTCCTTGTGCTCAGCTGACCCCCTTCCCCAGTATCAAATGATCCCCTGAACATTGCAGGACTGACCTCCCTCACACATAACTAGTAGTAGTACCCAAGCACTATAAACCAAAATCACCTTTCAAAAAAAAATCACATTTCTATAAAAAAAAATTTTTTTCTTTAATTATCACTTAAACTACGAAAGGAGGAGAGAGAGAAGAGAGATAATCTGCAGGAATTCAGTAGCGTATACTCCTTTTAGATACTCATGATTAGTTTCACATTGTAATTGTTTATGGAACCTGTACTTACAAGCTCACATTCATATATTTCACATTTGCTGCTTCAATCTATAGAACATGGCTCTAGTTGTTATCATGTTAATAGTAAATATTTATTGGGCATTTATACTATGCCAGCTACTTCCATCTGTGTGCTTTGAGTGCATTTTAATAAAATTTTTATGAACTCTGTGGGTTTTTTTTCTCTCTTCAATTAATAACTTAGTGCATTTTTTTAATTAATAGATGAACTGGAATTTACATTTAACTTTTCTGACAACAGACTGCCATCTCCCTGGTTAAGCTTTAAGATGCTCTTGTAAGGAGCTAAAGTGATAGTACAATGGGTAGGATAGTTGTCTTGCAGGCAGCTTACTTAGGTTCAAACCCCAGCACCCCATATGGTCCTCCAAACTTTCCAGAAGTGATCCCTCAGTGCAGAGCCAGGAGTAATCCCTGAGCACTGTCTGAGGTGGCCCAAAACAAACAAAAAAGGATGTTAGCATAAAAAGAAATGGCTGAGGGCCAGAGCAATAGTACGGTGGGTAGGGTCTTTGCCTTGCACGTGGCTTACCTAGGTTCAATCCCTGCCATTCTATATGGTCCCCTGAGCACTACCGGGAGTGATTCCTGAGTACAAAGCCAGGAGTAACCCCTGAGTATCACCAGGTGTGACCCTCCCACCCCCCCAAAAAAAATAAAGATCAGGAAGGGAGGGAGGGAGGGAGGAAGGAAGGAAGGAAGGAAGGAAGGAAGGAAGGAAGGAAGGAAGGAAGGAAGGAAGGAAGGTTGAATGATTTAAAATTAGCATTCTAAAATTTTTTTCTTTGCTGTCTGTTGTTCTCCAGGCTGTAAGACTAGAAAGTACCTATCAAAATCGTACTCGCTATATGGTGGTGGTTTCAACTAATGGCAGACAAGACACTGAAGAAAGTATCGTCCTAGGAATGGATTTCTCTTCTAACGACAGGTATGGTATATCAAAAGAAAGGATAGAAAACTCCTTTATTTAAATAACTTATTTTAGTTGCCTTTTGAGTCATCATAGAAATATCTTCTTTTACTAAAGTTCAGTGCGTAAAACTTTGAGAATACGAAAGTATCTTAATCACACTGTCTTGAGAGACAAGAGCAGTGAATGTCTTTGGTCATGTCCTAATTTACCGCTGTGCCCCTTCTTCTAACCATTAGAGTGGTGTTTATATAACACAAACATGATTGGGTTTAGGGTCCAATCATGGTTAAGTGGCCAAGCACCTGCTTTGCAGTCTTGAGACAGTTAAGTCTGATCCCCAACGCATGCTAAGTTTTATCCTGGTAGCAGTGCCACCTGAGACCCCTAAAACCATGACAAAAGAGTGTGATGCACACCACAATCAAGTTAGTGACCCCCAGTCATCACAACAAGAGATGGGAGGGAGAAAATGAATCGTTTTAACGTATATCTTTAGGGCAAAATCATTGCCTGTTCTTTGCAGTTCACTGTAGTTAAGGCAGTAATAATTCACATTCGTGATTGTGGAGCATGCGCCATTTGTGATAGTGTACCCACTTTCAGTGACAACCCATTTTTGTTCCCATCTCAGGATTGTCCATGACTGTGCACTTTGCTTTTACCAAATTTTCTTTTTCCTTTTTTTCTTTCATCCTCTTTATTTCTTTTTTTCCCCCATATGAGGGATTGAAATCAGAGTCTCACACACTATGCTTGCTTTCCAGAGTCACACACATTATGCATGCTTTTTCAGTCATCTGAATTAGGAGGGAGGGAAGTGGAATTTACTCTGTAAACTCAAAGCAGAACCTTGGACTTTAGCAGCAGGTTATATCCTATGTTTAAGCATTCACGTTTAACACAAAATCTGGCTTTCTTTGTGACCCTAAGGTTTGTTGCTTTCCTTTTTTATTTTTCTACTTTTTCTGAAGAAACCTTGGGAAGACTGTGGAATGTGGCTGCTAAGCAGATCTTTGCGCTCTAGATAATAAGCCTCAGGAAATCCTGCCAGATGTCTCAAGGCTTGGACTTCCTGGTTCAAGACTAGAATGGAACACTGGAATAGCTATGGATATGAACCCTGCCTGAGAGAATTTTGCTACAAAGAGTAGAGGAAACTGGGAGTGATTCTAATTGTCCTGGTTTCGGAGGGGGGTTGGGGGGACCCCATAGGGTGTAAACAATTCATTGTCACTTGAAAGTTAGTTTCCTAAACTCGTGTTTACTTGAGTTTATACATAGCAGTCAACCTGAAATGATTTGTGGATTCGCAAGGCTGGGGGTTTGTTACCTTGTAGACCACTCACAGCCTTTAATTATGTGCTCTGAAATTATACAGACTTGAAAACCACATTTAGGAAGTTTTCTCTTCAGCGTGGTTTTAGCCTCTACTTTTAGCTAAACAAAAGCTCTTTCAGTAACTCTTATCCTGTAAGAACACCCACCGTCTGTATATTTTATTAATCTTTTAAGACCTCTGGTGTGGATTATTGTGAGGGAGGAAATCCCATACCTGGCAGTGCTCAGGGGACCACGTGATGCCAGAGCAGTTCCCACATGCAGCCCTAACTATTGTACCATCTCTCCAGCCCCCTCCAGCACTTTTAAGTTGTGCTATTTCTATTTTGTCTCACTAACTTTATTATCATTCATTAACGATTACTCTTTTGCATATTTTAAAGCTTTTTGGACTATTGAGTATGTCCTGATACTCAATAATCTGTGTAGATTTCATAATTCGCATCAAACAAATCACATATTTGGAGTATATAAACAATAGTTTTGTATTTGTTTTGTTTGGGGATCGTACCCAGCAATGCTCAGAGCTTACTCCTGGCTGTGGGCTCAGGGATCACTCCTGGCAGGCCAAGGGGAACCATGTGAGATACTGGGGATCAAACCGAGGTAGGCTGCATGCAAGGCAAACACCCTACCCACTGTATTATCACTCCAGCCTAACAGTTCTTGACATTAGAAGTAATTCCAGAGTGAACTTGGACTGAGACCTGCCCACTGCAAGTCAGTAACAGCTATCACTTGAGGTTTTATATACAAGTTTTTTGTTTTGTTTGTTTTGTTTTTCAGGATAGCAGTACCAGGTGCTCAGTCAATTCATTTTCTTCTTTCTTGTTCTGTGGGTTGGGGATTGAACTACTCATGGCCTGGTGCTTTGGAATTTATGCCATGCTAAGAATCAAACCCAGGGTTTTCTTGTGCATAGCATATGCTGGAGCCCTTTAAGCTATCTCCCTGGCCCTCAGTAAGCTTTCTTTATTATGTACAGAATGGTGAACCACCTATTTAAAACACTTCTTTGTGTTAGTGATAATGTGATAGAAATCTCCCCATTCTTAATAGTTATGCCTAAACTTAAAGCTTAGGGATTTGACTTATCTTTGCATTGAAAGAGTTAATAAACAAAGAGCTGCTTCCTAAAATAACAGGAAGTAACTTGTGGACTTTCTCTTGCAGTAGCACTTGTACCATGGGCTTAGTTCTGCCTCTCTGGAGTGACACCCTCATTCATTTGGATGGTGATGGGTAAGAATTTTCCCCTTTTATTCTCCTACAGAAAATCCTGGGCTGGGTGGGGTTCCGTCTTAGTGCCCTTTTCATTCATCTGAATGGATGCCCAACTCAGCTGTCATGTCAGCAACTCCATGAGTCCTTTTGAACTCCTTATTTGTGAAGCGGAGTAAAAATACAACTTGCTAGGGCCTCTTACTTCTGTTCCTGCCTCACTGTGGTAAGAATCCAACAAAGAAGAGCTAGTTTGTTGGCTCACTCTTTAATCTGACTGTGTGGGACTGTTGCAATGCCTTCCCAGAGGATGATAGGTTCTGTTTCAAATAACCTCTTGCTGTCCCTGCCAGCTGTCAGCCTACAATACAACTCTTTCCTGTGCCAGTTTCTTCCAGTGACCCTCCACCCCCACCTCCTGGTGTTTTTAGAATGTGTCCCCAAGAGACAGAGATGTTTGCTCTAGTTCATAAAACTAGCATCAGGTTTGCTAAGAACCCACCAAACTTCCATAAAGAAATACACAGTTCAGAGCAGTTACAGCTGGGAAACTGTAATTCCCCGTCAGGCAATTGCTTACAGCTTTTCAGTCAAGACCTATTTTCTAGTTAATTTCTGCATGAAGTACCTGATGTTTCTTCTGAATCCACAGTTGCTACCCTTGAAAACAACTTCAAAAATTTGTTATTGAAATATCCTACTCCTCATCTGTGGATTTGTCTCAATCACTTTTATTTTTTTCCCTTCTAGTGGGTTCAGCGTTTCAACAGATAACCGAGTTCATATTTTCAAACCTGTGTCTGTGCAGGCAATGTGGTAAGAGGACTTTTACTATCTCTGTGAATACTTTTTGTTCTTTTTTCTGGGAATGTTTTCTAATGTTACTAGAGCAATGTTCCTTGAGCACTAGTATTGAAAGTGACAATTCACTTTCATACAGTTCTTTATTAGAATGTTATTGATCTGTTTTTAGTGTATAAGGTTTTATGTGATCTGTTTGTATGGTTATCATAAAGATGACTTAAAATCCAGCTTTCAAATTACCATAGTAGAAGTTCTTGAGCATTGCTAGACAAATCAAATTAAAGGGCGTTCTTTACTCACAGATAAATACTCAATGGCTCATATATACAGAGTCTTATAGGGACACATTGATTAAGCCATCTAAAACCAATTCTAGGGGCTGGAGCAATAGCACAGCAGGTAGGGTGTTTGCCTTGCACGCAGCCAACCCGGGTTCGATTCCCAGCATCCCATGTGGTCCGCCGAGCAGCGCCAGGAGTAATTCCTGAATGCAGAGCCAGGAATAACCCCTATGCACTGCCGGGTGTGACCCAAAAAGCAAATAAATAAATAAATAAATAAATAAATAAATATAAAACCAGTTCTAGAAAATCATAATGCTGTGCTCATAATTCTAGATCTTTTTGTTCTGTTGTGTTTGTTTGTTTGTGGACCACACCTTGCAATGCTCAGGGCTTGGCTCTGCATTTAGGAATTACTCCTGGCATTGCTCAGGAGACTGTATGGTGTACCCAGATTAAACCTGGATCCATCACATGCAAGACAAACGCTCTATAGACTGTACTATCTCTCCTGCCCCTTCTAGGCCTCAAAGGAAGCAGGGATGGCATTGATAGAGTTACATTGTAGATAGATAAGCTTCTGTTAAGTTGCTATTTGCAAGACTGTATAATGGGCCTAGAAAAATACATTGTAGTTTTGAATGGCCATCATCTGGTGTACTGGCACTTTTAGGTTACTACATGTCACGTATTGTGCCTCCTGCTTTTTTAAGCTGATTACATTCTACCATCACAAAAAAAGTATTACTAGTTCTTTGTGGAAGAGAAAAGTGACATTAAGAAGTTGCATTTATGTTCTTGGCCCGAGAGTGTTTGTTTCTTTCATTTTTGGCAGAATAGATTTTTATCTTTTATATTTCATTCTAGGTCATCTAGAAAAAATATTTAAATAGGTAATTATGTGACTACAAAATTCAGATTCCCTGCCCCAGTGATTTGAATTTCAGTTTCTTATTCAGTCGCCTATTCTGTAGAAGTCCCATGAAGAGCAACAAGAAACAGCAGGCAAGCCAAACAAGAAATAAAGGAGCTTGAAAAAAGAATCCAGGCAGATAAATCAACCCCTGAATAACTTAATTGATATACTTAAGATGGGTGGGGTCCTAAAACAGAGGCCACTGAACAATTAGCAGTCTTATCATTTCTGTGCAGTAATCGAGGTAGGACAGAATTTCGGGTCATGTGTTTAGACCAGAGTCTCCAACTTCAGGTGTATTTCACAGTTAAATTCCTCATAGAAATACTATCCTTTGACTCAGTTACAGGCAAATGACCCATCTTCCCAGAGAGTAAGTAAAACTAAGCAGAAGTCCCAGAAATGATATTGTTTTTGGTTGTGTTCTGGGGAGAAGTACAAAGTAGCCTTAATTCTTAAATCAGTGAAGATTTAGATAATAACCTTAGTTCAAACATTTATGATCTCAGTACACTGGTTAATCCTAGCTCTCTTATCTTATTGCAGAATTAAAAGAAAAAATGTTGGTGTACCACAAAAGTAGTAAATCGAACATCACAGGAAGAGAAAAGAGATAACGTATTGTCAATGTAGCATTTAGATTAGGTGGATAGTTGGTTTGGGCTGTTACTCCTATATGCAGCTGAAAACTCTGAAGTGGCTAAACCTTAATAAGCATATGCTAGGGCATTTGCCAAGACTCATCGCATATGCTGGTGAAGCACGTGTCCAAAATAAAACATGTTAAAAATTCTATATATTATGCCAAGTTGGTCCTTACCTTTGAATCTGTATCATGCAACTAAAATTCACTGAGAATTTGACTGAATTCTCTGAGAATTTGTCTTATTATAAGTAATAGCAAGCATTTTTCTTTTCTCTTTTTTTATGTAGGAGTACTGCTATTTATTCAGCTACTGATTAGCTGATTGAATTGCACATGAACTCCACCTTACTTTTTTCATAATTTTATTAATTTTTTTCTTCTTATATTTATTTATTGAATCACTGTAGGAAAAGTTACTAAGCTTTCAGGTTTAAGTCTCAATCATACATTGATCAAACACTTCTCCCTTCACTAGTACTCATTTTTCACCACCAAGAACCCCAATATACCCCCCTCCCAGCCCTCCCAGTGCCTGTGAAGCAGATGATTTCCACTTAACCCTTCTCTACATTGATTACATTCATTGTTTCGACAAAAGGTGCACCATTATTGTTTAGAATTTCCCCCCAACAATCAGAATTGCTGAAAAGGCATTGTGAAATACTTTGTTTTCTATAGCTGGTTATGAGAATCATATAATGATTTTGGATTTCTGCAAAGAGCCAGATAGTTACGAGATTGGTTTCTGTGCATCTGGTGTTATGGCTGTGCTGGAGAGCTGCTCATGGGGAGGCAACTTGTGACCTCGGTAGGGCGTAAAGGATGAGCCGCTACCTCCCCTCTTCCCATGAGACTGCAGTCACTGCTCATATCTGGCTTTTCTATAAGCTCAGAGGCAGCGGCCACCTTGCTGCTGGGAGGGAGGGCGGGCCGCGGAAGGGAGCAACACCCTTTCCCTCCCGGGGAGGCATGGCGCTGTAGTTTAATGCATGGTCCATTCACTTTTCTGCCACAAGCTGCTGGACTCTGGACTAAGTCCTTTTGCCTCTGGAGCCATGGCCATGCCGAAAAGCCGCTTGTGGGGGGCAACTCATGACCTCGGTAGGTTGTGAAGGATGAGCCGGTACTGCCCCCCTTCCCATGAGACTGCAGTTGCCCCGTCATCACTGGCTCATACCTGGCTTTCCAATAAGCTCTGAGGCGGTGGCCACCTTGTGTGCGGTCCAGATGCATTTCTGCCAAAAGCCGCTGGGTTTCGAGATTTGTTTCCGAGTCTCTGGGATCATGGCCATTAGCTTGATCAGGAGCCAGAGAGGCCATTTGTAGGCAGTGACTCAGGGGCTCGCTGGGATGGGGAGGAAAGGTCCAGTTCCACCCCCATCTGGTGAGGCCCCGTGTGTCTTGTCACTGCGGGCCCAAATCTGACTGTCCAGTGTCCTCTGGAGGATGGTCACCGGGCCGCCAAGGGAAACAGGCCAAGGCACTAAACCTATTCCCAGCTGGAGTGGCCCAGCACCAGTAACCTACTGCAGGAACAGAATGCATTTCTGCCAAAAGCCTTTGGGTTCCGAGATTCGTTTCTGAGTCTCTGGGATCATGGCCGTTAAGCAGTTCAGTCAGGAACCAGAGAGACCATGCCTCCAATTATATAGCTGAGCCGGAGGTGGTTTGTGATTGTGTCTCCCACATACCTAACTTTTGGCCATTTACTTTCTTGGTAAACTTTGCCCCAAGTTTTTGGGGTCTGGCCAAAGGCACAGCAGCAATTTGAGAGTATCTGGAAGTCTGAAGGCGCCATCAGGCTGCTGATACACTCACCTCACAGGTACAGATTGACCAGCTGGCGGCACCATACCCCCTTCTTTTCTCTTTTTAAACCTCTCAAGCAGTGATCAGGGGACCCAGGGGCTACTCCCAGTGGTAATTGTACCAACTGTCTGGGCTCAGTGATGTGGTAACGTAAAGGCCTACTGGTGCTAGGGGCCACCAGAGCCACACTTGATAGTTTTCAGGGGATAATTCAGATGTGGGCCTCCCCCAAGAAAAATAGAAAACAGTTAAATTATGGTATATTCATGTTACTAAATATTATCAGACTACTAAAAATTAGTTGAATAAAACAATTTTACCTAGAAAGGTGTTAATAACAAGATATAAAGTAAAAGACCAAAAACCATAAAAAGAATAAATGACCACGTAAAGAATATGATCAGGGGCTGGAACAAAAGCACAGCGGGTAGGGCATTTGCTTTGCACATGGCCAACCCAGGTTCAATTCCCAGCATCCCATATGATCCCCTGAGCACCGCCAGGGGTAATTCCTGAGTGCAGAGCCACGAGTAACCCCTGTGCATTGCCAAGTGTGACCCAAAAAGCAAAAAAAAAAAAAAAGAATATGATCAGATATTTATTGTAGTCTATGTATAGACAAATAGTGGAAGGATCTACATTGAAATCTAAGAATTGATATTTATTTATTTTTGAATTATAGGCCATGGAACAAGGTTTAGGGGGCCATAGGTGGTGCTGCGGATTTAACCCAGTAGCGCCATTTGCAAGGCAAGCACCCTGCCCACTATACTGTTTCCGGCACCATGAGTGGAAATTCTCTTGGCCAGATTACAGGATATTTCTGCCTTTTATTTATAAAATTAAATTTCCCAAAGTAGATCATTAATTTCTAAATACATTAACTTGCTATAAGAGAAAAAATTAAAAGGTATTTTTAAGAAAAGAGATTGGCCACAGAGTTCTCTAATGCCATATGTTTCCCTTAAGAGAGACAAATTTATCATAACTATGACATTTCTTTTAGCAAATACTAACTATGCACCAACTATGAGATAAGCATTGTTTTAGGTATTGGAGATACGTCAGTAAATAAAATGTAGAAAGTTCTCTGTAAGTAATTTCCTAGCATTCTGACTTTAGCTTTTTCCCAGACATGTAACCCATGTTACTTGTCTTAATTTATTTCCCCTTCTTATATTCTTGAGTTTAGTCTGAAATCTAGTCTCAGTGTAACTAGAGCTGCATCTCTCCCCAAAACACAAAAACATTAATTTGAAAGTTTGATACACACCTATGGTCGTCACTGTACTTAGTGCAATAGGCAAGATATGGAAACAGCTCAAATTCCTAACTACAGATGAATGGGTCAAAAAGTTTGGTATATAATATAAAGTAATTTAAATATAATATAAAGTAAAAGACCAATGATCATAAAAAGAATGTATACAATGGAATACTAATGGAGCATAAGAAAGAACAAAATCATGCAATTTGCAGCAACATGGATGAAACTAGAGGCTATAATGCTGAGTGAAATAAGTCAGAGTGAAAGGGACAGATACGGATGATCTCTTTCATATGTGGCACTTAAAGATAGACAGCAAGGTAGCAAAAAAGGTCCAAAGGCAACAGGACAGGGGAACTGATCTATACAATTGATCTCACCCCCTACAAAAGTGAGGGGAGAGGCAAGGGAGCTGGGGTACTTCAATGAGGAAGATGAGTAAACTGGTGGTGAATGTGGTGTTGAAATTATATCGGTAAGAAATCATTATTAACAGTATTATAATCCAAGCCAATAAAAATTGAATTGTAAAAAAAGAAAGCAGTTGTTGTGTCTGAATAGTTTAGAGGCAAGTAGACTAAGACAGTAAGAGGAATCCGTGTCATTTATCAATACTTGTGGACATTAGTGGACATGTCCTCAAGGATTTGGGGTATCTACATAATCTTTGTGGAATCTCTAAAAATGACAGGGAATATATGCTTTAAAATGATGTTGTGTCGGGGGCTACAGTGATAGTACAGAGGTTAGGGCGTTTGCCTTGCACGCGGCTGACCCGGGTTCGATTCCCAGCATCCCATTTGGTCCCCCGAGCGCCGCCAGGAATAATTCCTGAGTGCAGAGCCAAGAATAACCCCTGTGCATCACTGGGTGTGATCCAAAAAGCAAAAAAAAAAAAAAAATGATGTTGTGTCAAGGGAAACAAATCACTATAGACTAAATTGTTGAGTTAATTCCTTCTCTAAAATATAAAGCACAATCACAGCATGATTCCACCTCAAGGATCATAGATACCTGCCTACAGTGGTAGGCTGTCAGAATACTTTTTTTTCTTGTGATTTTTTTTGGTTTTATTTGGAGGAAATAAGAAATGTCATTGTGGGGCACATCCCACTCAGGAAAATGTTCATCTAATCTTTCTGGAATAGTTTTTGTATTTGGGGTGGGGGGCGTTGTTTTGTTTGTTTGGAGGCCTCACCCAGCTATGCACAGGGTTTGTCCAGGCTCTGCCTCACTCAGAAATTACTTTTGGTGGTGCTCCGAAGACCAGATGGGATACGAGTGATTAAACCCAAGTTGGCTAAGTTCAAGGCAAGCGCCCTACCCACTGTACTCTTCTCCAGCCCCAGTTTTTATATTTTTTTTTTGTTCTTATTATTTGGAACACACCTGGCAGTACTCAGAGCTTAATCCTAACTCTGTGCTCAAGGATTACTCCCAGCAGGGCTTGGAAGACCTAATGGGGTGCAGGGAATGAACCTAGTTCAGCTGTGTGCAAGACAAGTAAGTACCCTGCCCACTGTACTGTCACTCTGGCCTCGTTTTAATAATTTTTTCTTAGAATAACTAGCTCTAGCTGCCAGAAGCTTCGTCAAGGCATGACTAAGAGATGACTCCTAGAAAGAGAATCTCTTCTTTAACTTTTATCAATTGCTATGGATAGGTAATATCACATAAATCAGAATCAGAATCTTCGATTCCACTGAGTGATTCTCCAGAGGTCGAATTCTGCAGGCTTAAAATTGGAAGACAGTGAGTCTATAGTGATAGTATAGCAGGTTGCTTGCCTTGCACCTGGTAAACCAGGGTTTAATCCCTAGTATCCATATGGTGCCCAGAGCCTACCAGGAGTGATCTCTGAGCACAGAACAAGAATAAGCCCTGAGAGCTGCTAGGTGTGGCCCAAAAAAACAAAGAAAGAAACAAAAAAACTGAAAGAAAGGGACCAGGGATATGACTAAGTAGTAGAGCACATGCCTAACTTGTGTGAAATTCTGTGGTTGATTCCTGGCCCTACAGTGAAAAATGTGTGAAAAAAGTTGGAAGACATGAAGGTACAAGTAGGTTATTATTAGTGTCTCGATCATTCACAGTCTGCAGCGCTAATTTCTCAGCATATCTTTCAGGTCTGCTCTACAGAGTCTACACAAGGCTTGTGAAGTGGCCAGGATGCATAACTACTACCCAGGCAGTCTGTTTCTCACCTGGGTGAGTTACTACGAGAGCCATATCAACTCGGATCAGTCCTCGGTTAACGAGTGGAATGCAATGCAGGATGTGCAGTCCCACCGGCCTGACTCTCCGGCTCTCTTCACAGACATGTAAGTCGCTTTAATTTCGAATCATAAGATTGTAGGAATTGTCTTCTCTGTTGTGTCAAAAGGAGTTGGATGCGTCATGTTCTTCGCTCATCTCTCTCCTTGGTTAATTCATCTCACCCATTGATAACAAGTTATTGTTGACATATCATCTAAGTGCCCACATAACGAAACTGGTTTTAATGTTGTGTGCAAAGGCTTAAAGAGTTTCTTTCTTGGACATGATGACATCTCCATTGTTAGCATCTGTACTACTGGAACTAAGGCTGTAGCTCATGGTAGCACACATGCCTTTTATGTATGAATGAGGTCATAGGTTCCATCTTTGGCGGCACCACACATAGAGAGAAAATTGTAATATGAAGTCCAATCAGTTCGAGTTTCATTCGTTTGAATTTTAAAGATTTGGACTGAGTGCTTAGGGAGAGCTCAGTCTCCCACACAGCTCCAGGAGTGACCCCTGACTCAACAGCTCTGGGTGTGGCTCAAAACCAAACAAATGAAAAATCACACTGAAGATGGGCTGGGGGGTGGGAGAGATTGTTCAGCAGGTAAGGCATTTACTGTCAGGTGGCCAATCTGGTTCAGTTTCTGGCATCACAAATGTTCCCCCAAGCCTCCCAGGAGTGATCCTGAGCACAGAGTCAAAAGTAAGCCCTCAGGGCCACCTCCGGGTATGACATCCCTCCTCCCCAGTAAAATCCCACAATTTGGCCAGTGATCGATCAATAGGCTGAACACATGTCTTGTGTGCAGGAAGCCCAGATTTGATAACCAGCACTGCAGGGAATGACCCACTTCTTACAAAAATGTTATTCTTGGTCTAGCACTGTAGGACAGTGGTAGAACCCATGCCTTGTGTGTGCACAAATCCTCAGCACTACCTTGCTGTGACCCCAGAACTGCCAGGTATGGTCATCTGAAAAAAAAAAAAAGAAGGTGCGTGAGTAATAATACAGCGTTTGCCTTGCATGCAGCTGTTCTGAGTTCTATTCCCAGCACTCCATATGGTCCCCTGAGCCCACCATGAGTAATCCCTGAGTGCAGAGGCAAGAGTAAACCCTGAGCACTGCTGGGTGTGGCCCAAAAACCCTAAGTTAATGAATAATAAAACAATACCATTTTAATTTTAGTCAGGACAGGAATACCTTGGCTGATAGGAAAATAGCACAGGTATCAGCTGTATTCTGTACGGTTGTGAGAAACAAAGAGCCCCAGTTGGGGAGCCCCAAGGTTGTGGGGTCAGAGCATCCATCTTTGAAGATTCCAAAGCTATTTTTGTAGCAAGTGATAAGGCTGTAGGCATCAAGGGCAGGCAGGATGCCTAAAGGCTTATTAAGTCCATTTCCATCTCCAAATAAGGTGCTGTGGAGCAGATAACTTTCTTGAGTGGGAAGGAAAGATGAGACTGAAAGTGCTCTCTGACAGCCTCACTCAAATTCTACGTTATGAAATAATACTTTTAAAGAGAAGCATCCAGTTACATTGAGCTAATCTATCTAGTAATTGGAGAGTCAGCTACATCGTCTGTGTTCATATTAAAATTCCAGGGATGATTTTATTTTCATAAAGAATCAAAACACTGAAGGGATAGGGCTGCAATATAATCCTGCAGGTAGAATGTTTGTCTGAACTGAGAGATCTGGTTCTCTTGCCAAAGTATGTGATCATTGGCATAGCATTTGACCTATCAGCTATTTATTTCTTCTATCTATAAAATGGGATAACAGTATCAGAGATAGAGAGCTTTCATGGAAAGGGAAAGCATTTTGGATTAAATACTCTGGGTAGCTAATCCGTGAAACTATTTGAGAAAAGAATTTGCCTCATTGAAGAAGTTGGAAACCATTCTGACCCCTTTGTACTTTCTAGAACTGTAGTAATGAATAATCAGTCATTATAAGGTGGCATTTTATGCTATAGAAGACCCTGTTTCATTATTGATTTTTATTTACTATAAATATTTTGTGTACCTAATTTAAAGTTTCTCTGATATCACTGGTCTACCCAGTCAGTATGGTAGCTCAATAAGTGGTACGCAAGGGTAGTAGATGGGAAATTATAGATATGGTTTTCTCTTTGAAGTATTATACTCGATGTGTGAGACCCTGGGTTCGATCCCTCTCAATTCACTCACAAATCTTGCCTAAGAAAAATAATCACCATTTCTCTTTTCTCAGACCAACAGAACGTGAGCGAACAGAAAGGCTTATTAAAACCAAATTGAGGGAAATTATGATGCAGAAGGACTTGGAGAATATTACATCCAAAGAGGTAGGAGACCTGAGTCCTCATTGTTCCACAGCTACAAGTAGGATAACGTAGATGTGGAGCTAGAAACAGTGAGTGATTGAAAGTACAGGGGGACTTCACACAAGTTAACACAATATATCATCTTTTGGTTTTAGATCCGAACTGAGCTGGAAATGCAAATGGTGTGCAACTTGAGAGAATTCAAGGAGTTTATAGATAATGAAATGATAGTGATCCTTGGTCAAATGGATAGCCCTACACAGATATTCGAACATGTATTCTTGGTAAGTTTCAGGACCACTTTAAGTGGTATATCATGGGGCATTTGTTATGTGTACTTAGGATTAGTTACATCTGTGTGTGGTGAAAATGTTTATGCTAAGTTGTGCTTCATGTTTATGTAAAGTTCTTCTTCTGCCCATCCTATACCAATTCCTCATTCTGTGACATCAAAATTAGTGAATGAAAATTGACTGTGGGCCGGGGACCAGAGAGATGGTACAGCAAGCAGGGTGCTTGCTTTGCACTTGACTTACCGAGGTTTAATCTCCATCACCCTGAGCCCCAACAGAAGTGATCCCTGAGCAGAGAGCCAGGTGTCAGCCCTGAGAGCATCACTGGGTGGGTATCCTGTTCCCTGCCTCCCCAATAAAAAAAAAAAATTTAAATAAAAATCAACAGGTGCTGGGGCTGGAGCAATAGCACAGCGGGTAGGGCGTTTGCCTTGCATGCAGCTAATCTGGGTTCGATTCCCAGCATCCCATATCGTCCCCCAAGCACCACTAGGAGTGATTTCTGAGTACAAAGCCAGGAGTAACCCCTGAGCATCGCTGGCCCAAAAAGCAAAAAATAAATAAACAAATAATAAAATAAAATAAACAGGTGTTCTCTCACAGCTTGGAAAATCATATTCCAAACTAAATAGGGACCCCTTTCCTATAAGAGCAAGGTTTCAGGAAAGAATCCTTCTTTGCTCTTCCAGTGGCTGGAGGTTAGGCCTCCCTTGATTAGTGGCCCCCACCTACAGGGCTCCCATCTTCACATGCAACTTTTCCCATGTGTCTTAAAATAGAAGCTTGTCGAGGCTGGAACAATAGCATGGCTGGTAGTGCGTTTGCCTTGCACGTGGCGACCTGGGTTCGATTCCCAGCATCCCATATGGTCCCCTGTGCATAATTACCAGGAGTAATTCCTGAGTGCAGAGCCAGGAGTAACCACTATGCATTCCCAAAAAGAAAGAATAAAAAAGAACCTTGTCATTGTATTTAAGGCCTGCCTGGGTTATCCAGACTGCTCTCCTTCAGATCCTTAATTGCTTTTGCAAAAACTTTTCAAGTAAGGTCACATTCACAAGTTCTGTCTATATGGATATATGCAGATAAATATTTTTTTGAGAAATATAGCATTCAGGTACAATATTTCCCTTCTCTTTCTTCCATTATTTTTTTAAATTTATTTTTATTAAAACACCATGATTTACTAAGTTATTCATACTACAGTAGTTTCAGACATACAATGTTCCAATACCAACCCCATCACCAGTGTGACTTCCTTCCACCAGTGTCCCCAGTTTCCCTCCTGCCCCTTTATAAGACACATAACAAACTTCCTTCAGATTGTTTGATCCAAGAAAACTTAAAAAGTGGCAAGCAGAATGATCAGAATATAAATCAATAAAAGTCAAATTGATTGCTATATGATTTTAAGCTATGATCACGATCACGACCATCCTGTTATTCGTCGATTGCCTCGAGCAGGCCCCAGTAACATCTCCTTCGTCCTAGTCCTGAGATTTTTTAAAAAGTGCCATATTCAAGGCTCTTTCAGAGTTAGAAGAATGAGACTCATCATTGTTACTGGCATTTGGCATATTGAATACGCCACGGGGAGTTTGCCAGACTCTGCCATGTGGGCAGGTTACATTCGGTAGCCAGTTTGTCCAGTTTGTCCAAAGTAGGAATGGGATAAGATATGACCTGCTGAAAATTCTGCTATGGGATAAGATATGACCTGCTGAAAATTCTGGTATGCAGGTGGTGTCTAAAATCTTCTGACTTTCTCGGAGTTGGGATGGGCTACCTCCCCCCATTTCCCAATACTCACGGAAGTACTGGCAGTCACCCCTACAAATCAACTCTTAATATACTATATTATAATGCTTTGCACACGGCTGATCTTGATTTGGTTGCTTACATCCCTAAGCCCTACCAAGAGTGACCTCTGAGCTCAGTTAGGAGCAAGCCTGAGCACAGCTAGTTGTGACTCAGAAACCAAAACATTTTTTTTTTATATTTTACTATGGGCTGGGCTGTAGCTCTGTAGTAAAGCATTTACCTTCCATATGTGGGCTGCTGGGTTCTATCCCCAGCAGTACAAAATAATAATAATAAATTACAATAAAATTGAAATTTTAAAAATTGAGGGGCTGGAGCGATAGCACAGCGGGTAGGGCATTTGCCTTGCACGCAGCCAACCCGGGTTCGATTTCCAGCATTCCATATGGTTCCCTGAGCACAGCCAGGAGTAATTCCTGAGTGCATAAGCCAGGAATAACCCCTGTGCATCGCCGGGTGTGACCCAAAAAGCAAAAAAAAAAAAAAAAAAAATGAAGGGAATATTTACACTAAGGAAATGGACGAAGTTGGGGGTCAGAGCAATAGTATAGATGGTAGGGCATTTGCCTTGCATGCATCTGGCTCAGGTTCAATCCCTAGCACCCCATAAGGTCCCCCAGCCAACCAGAGCTTGGAGTAAGCTCTCAGCACTGCTGGATGTGGCCCACAATCCAAATACCTGAGCTCAGAGCCAGGAGTAAGCCTGAACACTGCTGGATATGGCCCAAAATCAGAAAGAATAGAAAATTGACAGAGCTACAAACCAGACCTTTCTTCATGGGTTATTAAAGGTCCCATTTGTTCTTCATAATATAGTTGAAAACAGATTACCATAGTTTTATACAGTACAAACTATTTGAACAATACTTGGAGACCATTCTTCAAATCTGCCAATGAGTTTAAGGTCTGATATAACTGACCAGAGCAGGCAGAAGCTACCAGAAGTCATTCAACCCATTTTGGAATCTTTTAACTACATTTTGAGTCCCCTAATATAGCTTTTTTTCAGGGGGGGAATTGATGGGGGGGGGGGTCAGTTGGACTACAACCAGTAGTGCTCAGGGCTTACTTCTGGCTCTGCATTCAGGAATTTCTCCTGGTGGGCTCTGGATGCTGGGGCCGGGGCGGGGGTTGGGGGGTGGTGGTCAAACCTGGGTCAACTGCATGCAGAGCAAGCACCCTACCTGCAGTACTATCATTCTACCCTCCTCCCCAAAACTTTCATAATTACTGACAATTTAATGACTTAAGACTGTAAAATTGTTTTTCCTGATTCCTGAACATTCTGTGACCTATTAATTGCTTAAGGCAACCTCAATGGCCAGTGGATTAGGAATGCTTTTCAAACCCACTACTAATTTTCTTCCCAAATATTAAAGATGCTCAAGACTACATGGTACTAAGAACAAAGTTAACAAGGATAATTAGGGGCTGGAGCAATAGTACGGCAGGTAAGGTACTTGTCTTGTACCCAGCTGACCCAGGTTCAATCCCCAGCACCCCATATGGTCCCCCCAGATCTAGCCAGGAGCGATCCCTAAGTGCAGAGCACAGAGTAAGCCTTGTGCACTGCCGAGTGTGGACCAAAAACAAAAATAATAATAAAGGATAATTAAAATCAGTGGAGTGGGGCCAGAGAGAAAATATAGGGGTTAAGTGCTTGCATGTTTGTATGTGGCACCCTGGATCTTATCCCCAACACTACATATCCTCTTGAGTATGGCCAGGGGTCACCCCTAAGCTCCGAACTAGGAATATCCCCTGACCTGAGCATAGCTGGGTATGTTCCAAAACAAGCCAGCAAACAAAACAAACCCTGTAAACATTTATACTGTTGTAAAGATATGACCAAAACTATAATTAAATTGCTTTTGATAAATTTGAAAATAGATGGGGAACACCAAAAAACACTTTTTTTTCTTCTGCATCCCCATATACTTTGACTAAAATTGCTAACAAGGAATTAAATCATTTGGTTTGAGTTTCACTTCCTTTCTCTGCTGAGAATATCTGTGAACTGTGAAATGATTAGAAGCTGGGAACAGAGAACAAGAATAAATGCAAAGAACTGATTAAACTGGATCATTTCACCCTGAATATCCAAGAGTTTATTTCATAAAGCTGTCAGACTTTGTGTCACTGAAGGCTTGTGCCCTAAATTAACTTTTTGACACACTAAAGTTTTTGTGCTTGTAGTATGATTCATCATAGTATGGAGTAAGTTACTTGTGAGAAGCAGTGAACTGGGAGGTGAAATCCTTTTCTGTTACTTTACTCCAGTATGTATAGCCTTTTCTGTATGTAGATCTTGGTGCACAGTTGTCCAGGATTATAAAATATTTATAAAACACCTGGCTTTGTTTTCACTTATATATACTTCCTGGAGGGTTCGGTATTTCCCATTCTTGTACTGTTGGGAAGAATTTATTTTAGGGGCAGAGACCTCCCAAGTCATTCTCAGGAGGTCAAGGGACCCTGCCAGTGAAACTTAGCCAGGCTATGTGGGCTTGAAACTTGAGTGCTCAGGCCTGGCAGTGCTTGGTGGCCTCCAGGGCTGTACCTCGGGATGTTGGATTGAACTCAGACTCCCGCATGCTGCATTCTAGCACTTAGAGCCATCTCCCTGGCCCAGGAAGAATTTTTATTAAGAGTCCTTCATTCAGATAAACCCTGCCCCTTTCTCTATGTCACATGACTAATTTTTATAACGGGTAAATGACTCTTCCAAGAATAGCTCAGGTTAGAAAGTGACTAAACCTATGAACTCAAGAGTCGGTGTCTGACTCGTCATCCTGTTTAATTCCAAGCATCTGTTCCCATGACTTTTATGCCACCCTTTCAAGAGTTACTTCACCCTCATACCCTCTTCAAGTGATGTATTTCAGGATATATGTACCATGTACATTGTGGTCAGGCATTACTTCTGGCTCTTCAGGGATTATTCTTGGTGGGGCTAGATTGGGTGCCCAGGACTGAACTGAGTTTAGCCATGTTCAAGGCAAGTGCCCTACCTGCTGTACTATTTCTCCAACCCCCATGTTTGTTTGTTTTGTTTAGAGATTCTCAGGGGTTACTCCTGGCTCACACTCAGGAGTCATTTCTGGGAAGCTCAGGGGAATATATGGTAGGCCAGGAATTGAACCCGAGTCAGCCGCATACAGGCCAAGTGC